AGTCACTAATTTATGAGATTTGATTCTTGCCTTCCGTTGCTGCAAAAAAGACGCAGACCTTTGGCCCTGAAATCTTGAGAGGTATTTGACAGAAGCGCTGTTCTCTAGCGAAGGTTATGCGTCGGAAGCCGCCGTCAAGATCAGTGGACAGAACTTGCTCATTGCGCGCGGTGGCTCGATAGCATACATACTTTAGAGTGACAAGTGGTTATTTAGCCAGATTTATATCTGGAATTTCAGAAAGCGCTACGTGCGCTGACCGCCTGCGAGTGGTGCCTCCTGGCCCTCCAGCTTCAAACTCGGTGCTGGATCTAATCTGAGTGCCTTTTTTTTAAATGGTCAAGACATTAATGGGAGGGGAGGGGGAGTGTGCGCTGATGTCACAACTATGTCTAAAAGTTGAGCGCAAATATTGTCAAATATTGTATTGACCAATGCTATTGCACACTACATGAGATCGCAGGAAACTGGGTGTTGTGTATTTCAGAGCTAGCGCCGAAATCTCGCGTGGCTATGAGTCCTCGCATCCTTTCGCGCGCGGTGGCCAAGGTTGAGCTGCCTGACCAGGATAATCCGACAAAGCGATCTGTGACGGGAAGGGATCATTTTTGTGATTTTGCTGTATTTGTGATAGTGGAGAAAAGAGTCCTAATCGAGTTTTTCCCTCCAATTCTCAAGAGATATGATGGAATAGGCGAAATTAGAGCATTTATTGTTCGAAACTTTACACATACCATAAGGAAGAACTAGTTTTGGTCTGTAGAACAAGTGAAGTTTTTGAGGTTGAGAGAATTTTCCAAAACTAAAGCTTCTGGGAATCACAAATTTACCTGGAATTCAAAGGAATGTTAACTCGGAAGAAAATTCGCTCACTACAGTAATAGTAGCTCCCGAGACCTCGTTAGAGGAAAGAGGCAATCGCTGTCTCCTTTATCCTCTAACCCTTCCTCATTACCACTCGACGGCAGTTCTGGGGGAATGGTTTCTGCAGAATCAAGTGCTATTAAAACAGTCATGGTGATGGGGGTCAGGGGAGACCCGACCCCAAGGCTGGCGGTCGAGGTGAATCATGCCCAGATCCTCTTAACGGAGAATGCGGGGAGGCTCACAAGATTATTGAAACTGCCTGGGGTTTCGGTTGATCTGATCGTCACTTTAGTCATACATATTCACATCCACCCGTACGATTGGGTTTCAAACAGTAACAGTGTCAAAGAATTTACTTTAATGTGCCTATTCTATTCGTCATTGGCGTACTCTTCATGATAAATCAGCCATTTGCCTTCAACATGCCTCCAAATACTAGTGATTTTCACCTTCTGGGCATTCGTTTTACTGATTCATCCCAAACAGCTTTACAATGAAATCATCTAATAGTCTCCACAACCGTGGTATTCTGCATCAGAGATCTGAAATGGGACTGTTTGGACAATGAAACATGGAAATAGCTTTGATTATAATCAAGAACAACATATTTCACAACTCACCTTGCAACCAACTGCTCCATATCTATTAAAATATTTCTCGAAGGCTGCTTTGATCTCTACAAACAGCAATTTGACTAAGCTTTGATAGTTGCTGCAAAACTTGTTGGAACATGTTCGTAAATGGTCGAAACCTCTATTTGGACTTCAATGACTTTCTCCAGTTTTTTGATTGGTTATAGCGTTTCGAACTTTATTTTATTAAAGTTCCATAAGCTACGATTCCATTGCGATATGGAGCGCAAGACTAAAACACACCACCTCTGCTATGCCCTCCATAAGCAGACTTCCTTTTCTTCCCTAATCTCTACCTAATTTCTCCAGTCTCATACAGCCGCTCAAGTCAATGAGATTTTCAGTTCCGCGCCTGCCCACTTTGGCGGACTTTGGTGGCACACTGACAAGGCCCTAAAATGGATAACCGATTGGATGGTGACAGTGTTCGGCCAACCATGGATACGAACGTGCACAGTAAAGGAACCGATGGTTAAAAGTCGACTCGCGTAAATGACGAAATTTTCGAGGTCCTTAGCGGGATGCAGTATTACATCCGAAAGAAACAAGACGGATTACTTTATAACAACTTTGGGCCAATTGTTTCTGCAGCTCGGCTCTCAGATCTGTATTGATGCCGAATTCTGCCTGCTTTCTTAGGAATTTCTCCAAGCGCTGAATGTGATTGGAAGCGCCATCAATCTCATCCAGGTTTGTCAGCATTACCATTATGGTACTTGTTAACACGTTGACAACAGGCCTGACGCGCATGCGCGTCAGAAGTTTTGCGCCGCATCGGACATTCTGACGCGCATGCGCGTCAGAACTATGTCATTCATTTTTATTGTGCTCGCGCTCCTTCTTCTCGAGTTTTTGTATTCATTCTATAGATAATACATTAACATAACTATAAACCACATGGCAGCCAGAGTGGTCAAATATCCCTTGATTTAGCAAAGATTTTCTGAACGCCCAAAACTTTCATTTCAATTCTTTCCTAGTATTCCTTTCACTGTTGTAAACATTCTCATGAAAGATTGTAGAAGCAGTTATACAAAACTCTGTGAAATTCAAGATATTTGTATTTTGATGGAAACTTAGTGTAAATGCTCTTTGACTTCATACATACAGGCAAAAGTATGTTTTTTGCTTTTTTCGTGACATTATGCGTTTCTTCACGAAACAAAAATCTTCTGCCATTTATTAAGTTAACCTTACGAATCTTTTTTTTTCTTTCAATGGTGAAAATAATTCTAATATATTCAAAATTTTGCACTTTAATACTAAAAAATAAGCGGAAGTAAGATGCGACGCGCTCATGCAAAAACAAGCTTTCTTCCTCCGGTTCCAACGAATCTGGTCCGGGTGGTCGAGGTCCCTCCCACAAACTTAAAGCAACAGCTAATCCGTAACCGCTGGTATGACCGCGCTTGCCTCACCCCTAACTGTGTTATCTGTCCTAACGGGCGGGAGGGTGACTGCATGGCATCGTGTGTGGTCTACCTAATCTCATGTGCACTCTGCGGGCAGGAGTACATCGGGGAAACTGGACGACCGTGCACGAGGATCAAGGAACACCTAGACGGCTTAACAAGTCAAGGCCTGAGACCCCCCTGGGTGGTCATCGGATGCAATGCCACGGAGGCGCGGAGTTTGAGGTCTCTGTAAGGATCTTGACGCGAGAGCCCCACACCTCAGCGCGCAAAACTTTGGAGGCCTTTTGGATCAGCGCCAAAAATCCAAAAATTAACAGGAAAGATGAATGCCTAGCCATAACCAGTGAACTCGCACCTTTCGCTGACCTTTGTGGGCTTCGAGCGCCATCGGCTCCATGCCGATGGGCCAGGTCATCTGGAGCCACCCACAGCGAGTCAGTCTAGCGGTGGTCTCAGCAAAATCCTACCGTGCGTTCTAAGGTGAGTTGACTGGTGTTTGTGATTTATGGCCCCCCTGGAGGCTACGGGTCTATGGGGACTATTTCGAAGTTTGAAATGATGTCTGCGGTAGGTCGCACTGATCTTTGACTTTCCAGGCTCTGACGAAGGCGACCAAGCCGAAACGTTAGCCGAATAAAGTTCTTGTACCATCTTGGCTTGTGGCTCCAGAAGCATATCCAAAAAATGAATGTGCATGCTTGCTTTTTTAACAGATTGATTTGAGTCCAATTTCGTGAAAGGAAGCCCAATCTTGGAACAATTATGAAGGCATATTTACGAACAGAGTTTATTGTTTTCAAAATGGCATCAAAATTATAAAAAAATGACCAAAAAAGCTGAAAGCCATGAGCCAAAAAGTTTCAGCCGATAATTTCCGGTAAACTTGATAAAATGAAAAGGATGAGCTCAATCTACCGTTGTGTCCATATGCAGCGTTTATCCCCTTGTCTATGGCTAGAGCGTTGGAGTGGTAGAAATTCATCAACTTTTCCATATCTCCAGAAGAATAATACCTTTCCATGGATTCATAAAGTGGTTCCAAAATGACCTTGCCTCTGAGTATAGAGAACGATTTTCTGTTACTTTTACTAGTTCAAATCAAGCAGTTAGAAAAAATGATGGAATTTAGAATTTTTTCAAGAAGGTTGCTTTCAAAAACATCCCTGTCGATGGAAACTGGTATTCAAATACGTACCTTCAGCGGTCCTTTGAAAGTTCGCCTGCGTAGCCATGACCTACAATAGGAAAAAACAAGGCTATCTTCCTGAATAGTCCATGTTATACTATGAATCGTGAGTGCATTGAATCATGCCATTTTTGTGGAGCAGTAAGACATAGAGTTCAATAAGAAAACGGGTGGATACTTTACCTAATGTGTTGACATGGTCGTCCACAAAACCAGCGTCTACTTCCGACAATCATTTTACCCTAATCAAAAAGTTGTATATAGCAGAATTTGAATTATCAAATTTCTACTAACTTGAGGAAGATTTTCTGGATTGGTTGTGGGGAAAAACATCCCTGAAGGAAATCGCAGCACAAATTAGAGGGCATGGAAATATCACAGAGCAATAAAATGATTGTAAGTATATGTAGAGATGAGAATGGAGACACCATAAATCCGAATTTCACATGATCTGTTGCGAACAAGAACTTGAAGATGGAGACAGCTAGGTGTAAAATCGATGTTTTCAAGATGACTGTAAGATAAATATGGTGGTTTTATGCACGGTGCCGCCTAATGCAGGTGTCATAGTGAATTCATGTGGAATAATATTGATTTGCCCAGATATGAATGCGTCAGGACAACGAACAGATGTTGACAAAAATAAAAGTACATTCAAACTAGAAGCTATGGAATTGATCTCGTTGACTGTTTTGATCAGTTTCCATTAGTTGAGTGTAATCCAACCCATTCAGTCTTCCAAACATTCCGAATC